GAAAGAGTGACTGCATCTTGTTTTAAATGTTATTGATAGAATTTTGTAATATAATCCAGACCAGTTTGGCTATCACCTGTCAGCAAGTTAAGGGCATGTTTGTCAATTCACAAAATGCTTCACCTTCATCAGCACATTGGTCACAGTATCAGTCTTTGCTGACATCTTGTGGTTGTAGGAAAAACTGCAAACGCTGAATCAGAGATGAGTCTGCGTGTGATTTGAGAGATTTAACTCATTTATTATTAGTTTATGATCGTTTACCTGTTTCCTTTATATTGTTTTATTGCACAGTATTGATCAAAAGAATATCATTAGAATTGAAGAAAAGAATGAAAATGTTGATCCTAAATGCACAACCAAAAAATACAAAAAAAAAAACTGATGAAAATCTCTCAAACCTGGTTGTGCTAAGTTTTCTCAAAAGCTGTAAAATTTTATGGCAAACTATTTAAACTGACAAAACAGTCTGAAGAGATACAGTGCAAATACAAATAATATTATCCACCCAAGTCATAGTTATGTCACAGGTTGTGGAGTGTAACAATATGGGGTGAATAAGTATCACAGAAGTGGACCTCTTAACCCTGCCGTGACTCTCTGCTGAACGGCAGTAGCACCTTGCCAGGGTTCAGCAAGTTCTTGGGGTCAAGTGTGTGTTTTAGGGCCTGCATTACAGTAATTGCGGGACAGCCCACTTCCTCCACAAGCAGGTGCCTCTTCCCCAGCCCCACGCCATGTTCTCCGGTGCACGTCCCATCCAAAGCCAGAGCTCGCCTACAAAACAGCAGCATCGCGTTACATTTCATTTATTATTATAGGATTTATTTTATACAAATATATATTGGTTACTCTGTATAATATCTATACCTTAATTATCCTTCATAAAGTGAAAGATTATGAAAAAAGATGTAATTAATGATGAAATAATTTAGATTTAGTTTAGATTATATGATTCATGCTTAGAAACCACTTACTTAAAGGAGTTAAGTTTAGGAGTTAAGATATTAATTAAAAGGTCCTATATTATGCTAAACTGATTCTTCATATCTGGAGTTGTGTTTTATTTCATTCACACATGTTTGAGTAAGCGTTTATTATTAGTCTGTTTACTTGTCCAAAGCTCAAAATGCTCTGTCCCACCTTAAGATGTCATGAAGTGGTAGTTTTCAAGTTAACAGCTCCTTTTACATTTTGTTCAGAAGACCCTGGCAATTCTGGGGCTGAAATTATCTAAATGATTCTAGTGAATGTGTAAAAAAAAACAAAAAAAAAACACAGTGGAACACTTCCTGTGTTACCACATGACATCACAAGGTGGAACAGAGTGTGTTAAACATGTGTGAATGAAACAAAACACAACTCCAGGTATGTTCGTGATGAGGAATTAGCATTATCACATAGATCAGAAAACAGTGTAATATGGGCCCTTTAAGAATTTACCATACCCCAGCCCATCTTTCTTAATAAAATATTTGTTCATTACTAATTAAGTCTTCCTTCATGCTTAATTATTGTATTCAGCCTCACATTTTATTGTGTCCGGTTATGTATTTTAGCATGTGAGTGTGTGTGTGTGTGTGAGAGTGTGTGTGAGAGTGTGTGTGTGAGTGTGTGTGTGTGTGTGTGTGTGTGTGTGTGTGTGTGTGTGTGCGTGCGTGCGTGCGTGCGTGCGTGTGTGTGCATGTTTGTGTGTATGTGAGTGTGTGTGTTTGGGTTGTTTGACTTGTGGGGTTGGGGGTGTGGGGGTTGGGTTGGTGGGTGGTTGGGTGGTTGGAAATGCGGGACTGTTTTTAATCACTGTAAAGCACTTTGTGTTGCATTTTGTATGAAAAGTGCTTTATAAATAAAGTTTGATTTGATTTGATTTGATTAATTAGGACTGATTATGTGTAGTTATTATAAAGTGTTTGTAATTTTTTTTCCCTCATACAAAACATTTCTGTATTGGTGTATTTTAATTATACTATTATACTGGCCACAAGTCCAGATCATATCTCACAAACTTGTGTATTAGGTTATGAATAAAAAAAAAATTAAAAAGCTATTTACCAACTCTAACACTAATTCCCCCTTATCTTTAATATGCTATTTTAATAAAGTTTAGTATTAGCATAGTTTAGTATTGGCATAACTCCAATACTAAACTTGAGTGAAAATCATATACCAAAAAAAATACATTCCAAAATAAAAATATTTTTAGGGTAACCTCAGAAAAAGAAGAAATGAGTTTGTACCTGGCCAGTCTGTCTGTGAACAAGCGCAGCCTGTTCAACTCATCTTTGTCATTGGGGTCCACCACCATGATGCAGTGGAAGTTCCCATCTCCCACATGGCCGGCTATGGGTCCTGAAACAGAGCATTAACATTTATTTTATTGAACTCAAATGAGAAACTGCTTGCATCAATGGAGATTTTATCTTGTCAATAAGTGATGTGTTTCAGCACTAAACAGCTTTCCAGAGACAGTAATTACCTGCACAAAGACATCTGCACTATAAAGCACTTGAAATGCTGTGGGTGAAAATGTAAAACTTAACATAAAAGCTGCAAAGCACATAGCCTACACAGAACAACTACAAAGTCAGGTGCACTAAATACATAACAAGAGCTTTGAGAAAATTATTATTATGTATTATCTCCATGACAATATTCAGAAAATGTTTTAACAATGCATCAGGAACGTACCATAATGTGCCTTTAAAGATCACATACTATGCTTGAGCCTGTTATGTAGTTGTAATCTACGGCACCCCTGGATCATTATGTTATAATGTCCATATTTTAAATCATAATAGTCCTCTAAACAACAGACACCTTTCCCAGGGCCTGGTGCGTTGTCTAAATAAAATATAAACGTTCTTATGTGGGTTCATTTTTGCCCTGTCTGAAGTGGAAATGTGGATTCACGTACTTGCCCGCAAAAACCAAAGCAAAGGAAAGCAACGAGAAGAAGGTTTGTCTATTTGTACACGGAGAATTTCTTGTGTCTACATCGGAATCAGTGCAAATGGGCCGTGTGAGTCTGGGGCAGTGCGCACTTATCACTAAATTCATGTTCAAACAAGTTGACATGCCTGTTGTACAACTGGGATGATTTAATGAAATGATATGCTCTCAAAAGAAACATGGATACAGTGTTTACATCAAAATATTAGGTTCATTAAAGCTGCAAGCAAGGCACACCCACATCTCCACATGTTGACATATCGCCACCAACAGTTTCTTAACACCAGCAACTCCTGTGGATATCTGCACACCACAGTATAGAGCAGGTGATTTTCTTTCATTTGTACCAAAATGACTACACTACCAAATGCTACTTTTTCCACCTCTGACAGTATGAGAAAAATTTCGTAGAATACCACTTGATCTACTTGTGAAATACAGGATGACTTTCATTTGCTTAAGGTGAAACATTTTATCTCATGGTTGATTAACTTAACTTAAAGGGCCCACCCATTATATGCTATTTTCTGATCTATATTATAATGTTGTTTCCTCATCACAAGCAATCTAGTTGTTCTTTCTTTCATTCACACGCACATATTTATCGCACAACCTCTGTATGTGTCAGCTGCGCTCTTCTCCCAGATGGAAAACATGCTGTTTCACCTTGTGATGTCATGTGGTAATACACAAAATACTGAATTATCAGTCCCTGCTAAATAAAAAGTAAAAGGTAGCTGTTAATTTAAAACTACCATTACATGACATCACCAGGTGGAACAGAGCATGAGATGTAGGCAAATCAATAATGCAGGCTTATTCCAACATGTGTGAATGAAACAAAACACAACCCCATGTCTGTTTCTGATGAGGTAAAAGCAACAGCAAAACAACTTTCTCCAGCTAAACTCAAATAAAACAGAAGTCATAGTCTTTGGTACACAGAAACAAAAAGACAGTGTCAGCAGTCACCTCCAGTCTTTCTCTCCAAAACCTTCAAATCAGGCCAGAAATCTAGGAGCAATAGTGGACTCAGACTTGAACTTTAATTTTTTTTTAAACACCATACACAGTCACTAGACACGTTTGGATAATTTCAGCCCTGGAATTTCCAATCTACCAAACAAAAGGTAAAAGGTAGTTGTTAAATTGAAAACTACCACTACATGAGATCACAATGTATAACAGAATATTTTGAGGTTTGGAGGTGTAGACAGACTAATAATAAAGGATTACTCAAATGTGAGAATGAAACAAAAGACAACTTCAGGCATGTTTTTGATGTTTTTTGATGAGGTAACAACATGGCTTAAAGCTCATAGCAGTCAGATTTGTGTAATATATTATCTTGAACGAGGGTCAAATAAGTATAATTTTTGGTCCAAGAAAATATTAACACAAAGAGTATGCTGCATTTATTACAAGTGTGTTCTCACCTGTCAAATTGTTCTTTATGAGATCCTCCTTTGTTTCCACTATAATTTGGGGCAGATGAGACAGAGGGACACACACATCAGTGGAGTAAGCCTGTGTGAGGAGAGAAAAATGGAGCATCAATGATTGGCACTCACTTAGATTTAGAACAACAATAGAGTAAGGCACAAAATCACTTGAGCACTCTTCTTCAGGTTTTCTAATGGTAACAAACAATCTGTTAAAGGAGAAGTGAAAGTAAATTATACTTAAAGGTTTACTATATAACTTTTCTGGTGAATGATACACCACCAGCTTTTCCCCATAAAGGTGCTTTGCCCTCAATGTCCCGTAGTATTGGATTTAATAATCTATCTTGCATTTACTTATCCTTAAAATTCCATTACAAAACACACAGTATTACTTTGAGTAGGGTCACCTCTCCACAGATCTGACTTGTACATTTTTCATCAACTTCATCTGAACTCATCTAGTCCCCAATTGTAATAATACAAAGCTGATTCCTCTTATGCGTACCATTGTCCTCTCATCAAATCCTACCTTCCCCTCCCACCCACCCTGTTATTTGTTATCATGTCATTATTACAGCTCAGATCTTATCGTAGTACAACTAAAATAACAAAAATCTCCCCACTATTGCAAAGAAATTGTATACACGATAAATGCTGAACCTAAAAATATATTGTTCCAACTTTCATATATTTAATGGATAAGTCAATATAGTACTTATCATAACAGGCGTACTGTCAAGGGCGTAGGTTTGGTCTCAGCATTAACAGATTAATTATATAATATTGTTTACTTTTCTTATGATGCACACTGCAAAAACCAAACAGCACATCTTTATAAGAAAGGGTAAAATGTGATAAGAAGTTGCATATATGTTTTATGAATTCTTTCCAAAGACACACAGAGTCTGGGCAGGTCCAAAATAAGTGAGAGGTGGATTCATTTTTCAGTTCACAAAATGTTCAGTTTGTGTCCATTGCCCTTCTAAGATGATTCTTTACAAGATAACAGCGTTGTAGATGTTTGTAGTAGATTTCCCTTTGCTTGTTGGTGATATTTGTGAGGTAATGTCCATACATTGAGTATTGTCAATTAGATTACGGCTGCTAACAGCGCACAAGTAGGGCTCTGTTTGGGAGGTGCACTTATGGTGATATTCGCTCTTTTTCTGCGGTGACTCATTATAAGGCAAGTTTAATTGAAGATAAAGCAAAGTAAGTTCCTTTTGAAAAGTTTTTCACAAAGTTTGGTGAGCAGCGTCTTCACTCACGCCTGCTCAAGCCGCCATCTTCGGGTGCTGGCCCTGTCCTGCCGCTTCCCCAGTTTTTTCCTCACACCAGTAATGACATCACTCTGTTGCAGCCCATGAAATAGCGGCATGCGTAACCCTGTCGTCATATCACTGAATACATCTCAGGGCGTCTAAGAAACAGAATGTGAACTAAAATGTGTTAAATTAATACTATTGAGTTTGGAAAAATATCAGAATAAATGTATATTTTTGTTTATTAAAATAACATGGCAAATATTCATAGGGACTATTTTATCTTCCCCAAATATTGGTTGTGACATGTCCCCACCTTCCCTGTGCAAAGCCATGCCCTTGCCTACTGTTGTATGTAAACAGTTGCTTTACCTTGCAGCCTGGTCTGAGAGCCAGGGCAGCATACCAGGCGTTGTGACGAGCAGCCCACAGGTGGTTACGGGTATCTGCATCCTTAGCCCATTGAAAGTGTGAGCCTCCATTTGTCTGTGTTATGTCCTCTGCACAACAGTTAAACAACAGTTAGTCCATAATTGCTATAGCTAACAAAAGTGACTGAAAAGAAAAAGACTAAAAAGGCTGTAGTCCAAAGTGCATATAGCTACATTATGAGTCAGATCCTTAAAAAGTCAGTTAAAGTCAGGTGAAATGTAGGTGTGACTCGCCTGTTAACTCGACCTGCTCCTTCAGGCTGTCCTTAGAGCCGTGAAACTCCAGGAAGAGAGTGGGGTTCACAGGGCAGGACAGGGAACTGTAGCGGTTACAGGCCTCCACCATTACATCATCCAGAAACTCTGTCCCAGAAACATTTTAAAGATTGGACCCTAATGTTAGTTGTGGGGTGGTTCAATATATTCTGCCAAAAATGTACGCATAAATGTTTTTCTTCTAGCTGCAAAAAAACAAGCACTTGAGACTACTACTACTTTTGGTTTGGAACATTATTATTGTTGTGACAGCTTTGGGCAACAACGGAAAGGACAAGACCGTGGACAGAAGCGGTCAAAATGAATTTCCTCGAGAAGACCCAGGACTCCCTATTTATCTGAATGTGTCAATGTCAGAATAATTTTATTATCCCATATTTGCTAAATACTTGTGTGATATTCTAGGCCTATGAGTTAACCATTTATGTACTACAATTCTTTGATTTATAATGTACCAATCACTTGTATGAAAATGAATAACCTCTCTGTGTTTGACAACTGTGTGCAGTGTCCTATCGCTCTAGTGAACCTCGAAATGATTCCTCACATGAAGTCAACTCCCACTGTCACACATGCAAGAGTTATGATGGTGTCTGACCATACCTAAGGCACCCCCTGATTGTTAATCATGTTTTATGTATTTGGACTATGCATAGCTGCATCAGTTTCTTATTATGTCTTTGCTGTTTCCCCTTCCCCTTGAGAATTATCATTCTGTAACTAGGGCCTCCTAATGAAATAAAAAGAGGAGAACGGCCTTGAGGCATCAGAACGTGTGGAGACTGTTGGTTGTGATGCCCACTCTCTGCCCGTTCTCCTCGCGAGTAAAACTGAATTAATCTCTTGTCTTTCTTCTTGTTTACAATGTTTAGATAAACCTAACAGTCAATTAAATAATCAATTCACCACTTACCAATACGAGCAATGGGCACCCCTGCCTGTAGGATTTGCACAGTGCTGTCCACAGCAGCCTGGACAGAAGGGAAGGAGCACACAGCAGAAACCATTGCCTCTGGGATCCCATACAAACGAAGAGTAGTCTTGGTGATAATGCCAAGGGTGCCTTCTGAGCCAACAAACAGGTTTGTCAGGTTGTACCCAGCGGCGGACTTTCTAAACATGAAAACGGTTTCAGATAAGCAGATATATGTTTCATAATTATGTACAGCAATTGCATGGCATATTTTGTTACCTGGGTCGGCGGCCCTTTCCTGCGGTGTGAATAATGGTCCCATCAGCCAGCACCACCTCCAGGTTCAGGACATTATCTCTCATGGTCCCATATCGGACTGCATTAGTACCAGACGCACTGGTGGCAGCCATCCCACACAGCGATGCATCTGCCCCCGGATCTGCAATGTCAAGAGAGGCAGAAGAAGTCTGTAAATATGTCAATGTTTACAACACCCAATGATTCAGTACACTGAGAACAGCAACCCTGCCTATAGTTTAAACTTAAAAGGACAGTTTAATTTAGTCAAAGCTTTTGTGGCAAATATTTTTAAATAAAACTAATCTGTTCAATTAAATGTCAGGGGTCAAATGTGTGCAACAAGGTTACACACAACTTGGTATTGAGGACAATTCTGAAAAACACAGATGCTGAATGAAACAGACCAACTGGAAACCAAAGGCCTGTGTCTCGGAGATAAGTGTTGAGGGTTTTCCGGGTCACACCAGGCTCCACTGTCACATCAAAGTCCTCTGCATGCAGATCTACGATCTTGTCCATATTTCTTAAACTGAAACAAACCCCTCCCTACCAATAAAAATACACTTTTTAGAACATTTTATTTTGTATAAAGAGATCAAATGACTTTTCAGGTTAAATACGGATTAAATAAAAAGAGTACATTGTTTAAAGTAGAATATTTCTTACTTCTACTGCCCCGACTCCTCCCTCCAGACTGGTGCCTGTCCCAAATGGGATGATGGGCACATTGTTGGCATGACAGACTTTGGCCAAAGCACTGACCTCCTCCACACAGCGAGGAAACACTACTGCATCTGGAGGACAACATCTGGGAACAAAAGAAAAAACACAATTTTATCTGTTAACATTGTTTCTTGACTGTTTGAGCATTATCAGCTGTTCACATCAACAGGAAATACCAAGTGATGCTAAGTGGTTACTATTATGGGCTTTGTTGTGACACTGACCTGTGCATGGACTCGTCCCTGCCGTGCTGTTCCCTCACAGCCTCCCCCACAGAGAGCCCATCCTCTCCACAGATGGACTTAAACTGAGATAAGACACTCTCCACCGCCAAACTCTGTGCATACACAAGTATGAGATGAACTGTTTGACTGGCATTTGGCAAATGGAACTCTGAAATACGCCTCAAAATAGGACTACAACAACCGAGCCATGAGGTAAAGATTAAGGAAGTTCTATCAAATTAAAGCCAAAATGTTGTTTAACCTATATTGACAACAGTAACAAATAGGCCTACGAGCTTCTGCCATCATGTCGATTCTTGTTCTACAGCTTTATTGTTTGCAACAATAGTTTTGCCAAACCTTAAAGAGGTAATCTCAGGACATTACAGTGGCATTATTTTTAATGTAGGCAGTTCGCAGTTTGCCTGAATGAGGATCTAAACTTGAGCGCTATTCTGACTCACCCGAGAGTAATCCCAGGAGTTGACGGTGCGACACTGGACCGCGGGCCATGGGCATGAAAACATGCGAAGACCCCTCCTCAGCAACATGCTTCAACAATCCTTTAGCACTAACTGTGCACGAATGACAAGCAGAGACAAGAGCTGGTGTTACCAGTTTAAACATACAAACATCCGCTAGTTACCTTTCATAATAAAAAAGGAAGTAACGTGAGATAAGTTACAACTTCGCAAAGATGTAACTCTCGACTTTAAATTGGTTGTCAAATAGGGCTTTAATGTCACCACTAACCAGTCTTACTCAGAGTAAATGCTTGAAGCCTTTCCCATGCATCGACTTGTCATGACATTAAGCATGTAGACCAGGCCTAATGGGCCCAATCATGAATACACGACATAGTCACATTATGATTGGTTAGAAAAGATAGAATAAGATCTAGGCCTGACTAATTGTCAACAGCAGACTTGATTAGTAACTTACATTTTAATCAGAGTTGGTAGCAACCAAAATGCCTACCTGTGTTCTTCCCGTAAACTTGACAGACGAGATATCCATTTCTGACCAGCAGATGGCGCTAAAATCAGACTAATGTTGTTGATCCACTTTGACGCTGGGTCCGAAAGAGAAAGTGCGAAGTTTCAAGTCCAAGTAGGCCTTGTTTTTTTTACCTGTTGCTGACAACGACGCTTATTGATGTATCGGTCATGATCTTGAATCATGAAAGCTAATCATGCTGTGCTCAGGTGTTTCCAGGTGGCACAGTTGTCTATAACCGAGAAGTTAGCTGTTCATATGGGACGTTTGTGTCTGCTGTAGGAGGTCAGTCTATAGGTTAATCAACTTTGGACCATTCAACACAAGAACATGTGGTACAAGTGCTGTTATTATTTGTCAAGCTTGCCTCACACGCGCCCACTGCCCACAGTACATATTATAGTACACTGTAGGCATAAATTAAGACCACACACTTCAAAGTTCTATAGGCCTTGGTGTGATAAATCCTATAGACCTATGCCCATTAGCATAGGTGTTGGGCTGTTTAGATTATTTTAATTTTTAATTTTTTCTATTTTTTTAGTAAGTCATGTATCCTGTAGACCTGCCATCAGGGGGCGACAGCGAGCTAACCTCTGCATCTATCAAGTACCTCTCTTCCTTGGAGTCAGAGCCAGCTGATAGTGATTGGTTTATTTTACCGTCAAAATCTAAGGTAAAATAAATAAATAAAGCTGGTTAATGATGTCTGAAGTGATTTTTAAAATTATTATTATTATTATTACTCTGTGTTTGCTTTAGGTCGCTATAACAGCATGCAATATAAAGCAGCTGCAGCTTTTTAATGACAAACCAGAGTGTATTCTGTTGACTCTTCATAAACCTGATGAACCCCAAAAAGGTACATTGCTTTTTATATACATAAAATCAACACCAATCTACATAATGAGTGTTTTCTATTATCTTCTAGTTGTAGCGTTGCATCTGTGTGGAAATTGGTGGCATGTAGATGATGTCTTACGAACATCCAACAAATCTAGAAATGGCCTGGAGGTGGTAAGACACATTGAAAACATAATCAAGGATACTAGTATATAACTGCTAATTAACATTTTACTTTTTAGTCCAGATCTAAACTGTAGTGGAGTAAAAAGTACAGATACATGCTCTCAAATGTAGTGAAGTAAAAGTATCCATTGTAAAAAATACTTAAGTAAAGTACAGATACCTAAAAATTTTACTTAAGTATTGTACTACTACTTTTGTGCTTCGTTACCTTCCACCTCTGCATTCTATAGGTGAAGTGCACTATAGAGAGAGTATTAATGCTGGTTCTCAGTCAGCTGGTGGATAGGTCTCTTGGGGACGAGCAACTTTTCTCAAATCATCGCCCAACTGAGAACTGCAAGCTTTTCTGGACACATGGAGAGGCAGTGGGCTTCTACAGCTTCAAGCACAAAGGTATTAGACAAAATAGATTACTAAAAAATCTACCAAAGTTTATTAATAGATGAATTATTTTACTGTGTTCAAATAATAATTGCGTTGAATTCAGTAGGGCTGTAGTCATCTAAACTAATTCTTGGTTGACTAAAGACATGTTCTGCCGATCAGTTAGTCGACTAAAAAGAGGGCGTGGCAAAAGCTCTCAAAACTAATGCTTATCTCTATGTATCTAACTCCAACTGCAACCACAAGACTACAGCTGCATGGGAGTTCATGCAAAATGATCTATTTATGCAGATTAATTAATTATTCATTAATTTTCCTTCCTTAAATTCATTAATTTTCCTTAATATAACTCACTCCCTTACTAACTTCTCTTTTCTGCCATTGTCTCATATGGAATTTGCATGGACACTAAACGTAATATAGAAGGGGTATTTAACATATATACTATAATACTGACTTCAAAGAAGCACTGTGTGACATTTCTAGTGGATGGTCCAGCATCCGATTATCTCTGTGGAAATGTTATTGCTTTGTCTAGAATGTTCCACAGTATAGATTAATCTGTCACAAGGGAAACAAGCAGGTTACAACACTACACTACATTACAATTCAGATCTGTGGAGAACCACTCCTATTCACAGAAAGAATTATCATATTTTTGAGCAATAGAAACACCCATAATGAATAAATGCTACAGAGAAATGGTTAAAGTCATACTATGGAACGTTCCAAGCAAAGCAATGACATCTCCATGGAAAAAAGCAGGTGAGTTACAGAAGTTACAGTGCACCTTTAATGCATGAAAGATACTATCACGTTATAATTTTCTTGTATTCAGGCAGTTTGTGTGAAAACTGTATCAGCCAATGCTACGAGCTTCCTGTACTGGACACCATCTTTGTGAGGAGTCACTGTAGAAGAAGGGGCTTTGGACTGCTCATGCTCCAGGACTTCTGTGACATGTTCCCAAATGAAGATGTACTGGGGGTCAGCTCTCCCCTGTCAGTCAGTATGGTGGCAGGTGCTATATATGTTACAAAGACACTAACTTCAAGCTTAGGGTGACCAGATTTTCAAAATTCAAAATTGTGACACATCAGGTTGGAGTGGTTGGTATAAAAAAAAGTGCCTAACATTGTCCAGTCTTGACTCATTTATGGGACTTCTGTTTTTTCATAATTTTCTGGATTTTAGTTAAACAAATGGCAATATATTGGCCGCTTTACTGTTAGTGGGGAACAGATTGATCAAAAATTGGGACATATGGGATATTTCATGTATAAAACTGGGATAAATCAATGGTTTTGGATAAATTCACTGGGACATAGGGTTCAAAACTGAGACTGTCGCGGGTAAATAGGGACATCTGGTCACCCCATATAAGCTAGCAGTGCCCATTCTCTAGAATTTATATGCTATTATGTTTTTAGTGTGCAAAAAGTTTCTGATGCAACACAAAGAACACAGAGATGTCCTTTATGAAGTTGAGGCTCCTGGCAGCTGGATTCAGAGACGCAACATCTGGCTCAACATCCAGCTTGGACGTTACTCTCAATGTAAAATATGTTGATGCTTTTTTATAATGAATTATATTTAGTTTAAACTACTAACCTGAAAGCTTCTTGTTCACAGCTAAGAACAGCCCATCATCTGTGGAAGTAGAGAAGGATGAGGGGAGCAATCAACTCTAAAGTTGTGTGTCTGTGGGTATGATAGATTTTAATGCCACTGACAAAATTGGAAACAAACACACAAACACAACAAGTTAAACAAAAAATATCTTTCTTCAAAAACTGTAGCCTACACTCATCCAGTAACAATGTTTTTTGTGTGTGTTTGTGTGTTGTGACATAGATCTGTAGGCTGTGCAAGCCTTGTGAAAACATCCTCAAATAGTGCATGCAAACAGAGCACGCTGCGGACCACCCACCAAAATAGAAGAGTCCCCAAATACTAAAACTGCTTTGAAATGTTCTGGACAATTGTCAGTGGACAAAGACAGGAAATAGATGGGAGAATTTTATGTTTGTTATTGTTTTTGTTAATACAAATGTAAATACTGTATAAATATAATATGATTAATAATTGTTCAGAGCATGTGGGGCATTATTTTATATTTTGTTCATTGCATACACAAATATTGATCTAATCATCTTAGTAATATAAAAGAGTCTGTTGACTTCAAATCATGGGCTTCAGACCTGCAGAACTGAAAGGCACCACCTTACCGTGTTTCATATGGCATCACGACAATCTATAGGCCAATAATATCTAATACAGATGGGATCAAATAAAATTAATATTGTTAAAATTACGAGTTTTGTAGTAATATTGTGATGGATTAATGGAGCTAGACACTGATAAAAGTAATTCTGTTGAACATTAGATTACAAACTTTTTTGATATTTCGGGGCAAAGTACAACGTAAGAGGGAAAACTGGCTCTTGCCCCCATCTGGGAGTAAGTTGGTTTTCATTTGTGTTTTTATGGTTGAAAATTATTTCAGAACCCAGGACCCTACATGTTTGTCACAGGGTCTGAATTTTCTTGAGTAATTCCAAATAAGTACAGAGAAGTGGGCAGAGATAGGGGGCAGGTGAAAGCAAATTTTCTGAGTCAAGCTTCAAATGTAGTAAAGTCATCAAACATGCATGGATCAGTCGAAATAAAACCTTGAGTGAGCTAATGATGAGGAGACTCTGTTATAACATGATTAAAAGCTCGTCAATGCAGATTTCACATCATATGTCCAGTTGAAGCATTTTTCTCTGAAGCGGCTACTCTAGTGAAGTAAAACGAGCGCGCCTCGCGCTGCGTTAAACCAGAACAGGAAGTTGCAGCAGCAAATCTTGGGAAAAGAAAATTGTTACAGTTTGGCAAAAATGAGTCGAATTTATCACAACACATCTTTACAGAACAAGCCTGTGCACAACGAGACTTTTGACCGCGCCTGGAACCCGTCATCGTACGAAAGGTACACAACTGTTGAAAATGCAAATAATCTTCCTCCCACAGTGAACCGTCCACTCTGCTCTTATGGTCAATGTTGACACTTTTAGTTTTGGCTTGAAGTTTTGTCCCTCTGATCACAGTACCGTGCGCTAGACTACTCTGTTAATACTTGTGTTGTTGTTGGACTCACTTCTGCAAATGTGTCACAAGTTTAAACATTGGGATAATTTTGATAATTATTTAGCTACAACCCAACTTTGTTTTTACTATCAAATATAAGATCCGGACTAAGCTGTATTACACCCTTCTGAACTATTAATCCTTATAACCGATAAGGGTGAATAATTCAATCACTGCTAATGAGTTCATTTGACCCCATGTTTACACAGTGGAAATGGAGTTCTCCTGGAAGGGAAGCTACTGGACGTCTCCAGGCACACCATTACTGACATCCACAACCACAAGGTAAAAGATTTGTATCAATCTATGAATAGTGTCTTCCTCTTAGAGAAAGAACAAATGCAGTATTTTATCATGTATGCATATTAAATTACAGAATAGTGTCATTGTAGTTAGCTTCTCCCTGCAGACAGATATAAGGAAGTACTCACCAGCATTCTGACCAGAACTAAAGAAGCAGCTTGGATGAGCTGTGAAATGTATTCAACCAAATTAACTTTGTCCATTTGACAAATTGGATTTCTCCTTTGCCATATAAAATTACAGTTCAGAATGTTTGTTCAGATAAATGGTAAACTCTTCTCTAAGAGCACCTGCGGACCCCTGAGAATCTTACAAATACTGTATTTAAGAAAGAAAAATACAAACCTAGGGATCTTTACCTCAAAAACACTCAGCACTAATGTTGTAGACAGATGTATAATAAACACATGTTGTGTTTTGTTTTGCAGACTCGCTTTTATGTGCTGTATGTCCAGCCCAGCCGAATCCATCAGAGGAAGTTTGATGCTAAAGGCTTGGAGATAGAGCCAAACTTTAGTGACACAAAGAAGGTCAACACAGGCTACCTTATGTCCTCCTATAGTGAGTATACTGTTATACTCATTCAAGGTTTTACATTTAAACTGTCCAAATAAATATGATATATGTTAAATATGGTAAACATTTTAGTATTCTCACGAAAGCCTTGACTTTGAATGTATTTGACCACTTCAGACAATTTCAGTTAAATGAAATATACTTATTACTGATTTTGTTATTGGACCACTGAACTTATGGATTTTTAGAGTAGACAATGAAAGCCCGTGTAATAAAATATGGTCTTTCACATGTGGACAGAGGTTGAAGCCAAAGGTCAAACAGACCGTCTTTCAGAGGTGGACCTTTCAGCATTAGTCAACAAAAATGAACTGATAAAAATCACAGACAAACACAAACCCAGTGGATCTTGGGCCTTTTGGTACCCTGAGTCTGAGATGGAAAAGAATGAGCTAGAGACTGGACAGGAAATACGCCTCAAAACTAAAGGAAATAGTCCTTTTATATGTAAGTACAACTTTTTTGTATTTCTGAAAACAATTACATGTGGTTGTATCATTTGTAGCCTATATCTACTAATTATATATATATATATATATATATATATATATATATATATATATATATATATATATATATATATATATATATATATATATATATATATATATATATATATACACATATATATATAATTTTTTTTTTTTAGTCTCTTTGGCAAAAATAGATGGTGGTACTGTTACAAAATGTAACTTTGCTGGCGATGAAAATGCTGGAGCATCATGGACAGATAAAATAATAGCCAATAAAGCATCATCAGACAGTGGAAAAGCAGGAGGAGAGGGAGATGGAGCTGGGGATGAAGAATGGGTAAGCACTGAAACCTGCCCACAAGGCCACAGACACAGTTGGTCCTCCCCAAGCACGGATAAATGAACCAACTCGTAACAAGAATGGCATCAGTACTGTAAAATGTATGCCTTTTTAGTCTTCAAGTGCGTATGACTCATTTTTATGATTCTTTCATATTTACTTAAATTGGGTCAACAATATCTGTTGGAAATATAAATTATAGTTTTACACCAACCAAGAGGCAATTTGTGAAGAAATGTTGAAAAATATATTTAAAATTACAGGAAATAGAGAGTTCTAAAATATACTGGCGGCATCACAGTAGAGAGAATTCTGTCCAAAAGTTAGGCATAATTTACAGGTACATACAGTATATATTAAAAAAAACATGTTGTGATACTTTTAAAAATTAATGGTGGTGTTTTCTTATATTATTTATTATATAGTGTTTGTGAGATAATAATTTATGTACATTAGAGTTTTGTTTGTCGAATTCCTTAGTGTGATGTCACGATTTCCAACCAGGAAGTAACAATTTAAACATAAAAAATTGCCAAATTGGGAAAAGGAGTGTGAATGTTTTTTACAAAAATCTTATGTTTACTGTGTTTTTGTAAAATGAGTAATCTAACCAGTCATAGGCACTTTAAAATCAATGCTTAATCATGGCCCATGATTTGTGGTGACCACACAGCAAAAAAAAACAAAGGAAAATACACACACTTCTTTACAGTACAACAGAATATTATTTTAGCTTTTCTATCTACATCCTTCTACTACCAAATGTGATCCAGTTTTCTGTGCTTGTATTTCTCAGGATGATTGAAGAATTTCCCTCTCAGTGCCTAATAACTCTCCATCTGGAACAACCTCCCACACATCTTTCCCCACATGACTCTGCAGAAAAATCATACTTTTTTATTCTCTTGAATCTTTTTTTTTTTAATCTCATGGCTTTTACTATTTTGACTATAAGTGTGACAGAAATATAGTGATAAATACACAAGTGGATTTTGTCTGGTCATATATGTTTTTATATTTCTTTGTAGTGGATGCATTATTGGGGAAGTTTAGTTTTTTATATGAACAAAGCAAACTTACAATATTAAAAACAAGAGTTGACATAAAAATCTCTTAAGTGCAGATACTGATGTGATGACATTAAAAGAAAAATGCACAACTGTAATTAAGTAATTTTAATAACTATAACAATCAAAGTTATTTTACATTTTATAAATGTAAACATGTATAAATAAGGGACACATGTATATACATTAACATTCTTTGGTGCATATGAAAAATAAAATCTGGTTTGTTTTATTTGTTAATAATGATAGATAATTCATTGTGTGGATACTGAGGGCTTTGATCACACTTCTTGACTTGGTTCTGGTTTGAATCATTTAGTTCTGTTGTAGACTTGGTGTGGTACTGTTCTACTTCTGCTCTAGTCCTGGTCTGTCTATATTTAATTACTGCTTTAGTTACAGTTAAGTCACAGTTTAGTCCTAATTTCAGGGTGCTGAAGTGTGAACGCAGCCTAAAAAAGGGGTTAACTGGTCTCATCCAGGAACCAGTTTAAAACTGTCCCTTTGTTTTCGCTGACCCACTGGATGTTCACCTTCGTCTGCTCGATGGCACTTTGCACGGCTCGAGAGGCAGAGCCCAGGTCATACTTTGTGGAAAAAGATTGCAACTGTAAAAGCATAAAAACATAGTTATTCATAGACGTCAAACATAATGGTGTTTTGGACGTGATTGACATTCTACAAACATCCTTCTGAGCACGATCAAACACAATTCAATATGACCCCTAACCAAATATAACTAAATAAGAATTTCTTCTTAATTGTGTATTAAAAGATGTCTCTTTGTGGTGATTTATTGACATATTTGACTACTGGAGAGTCTTATAGTTTAGGTAAAGTAAGTGGTCCTTAGTTTTCTGGAATTTTAGGAATTTGTTTAATAAGGGATTGGTTCATTGTGAAACATATTTTTCACATTTTTGTCAGCAATACTCTTCCAGCCTAATATTTTTAAATGCATTAGTCACACACTGGTAACTAGAGGTTACATAAATCTGATAAGTTATCAGGGTGTGACTATGACAATGTAATTAGACAATAAATCACCCAGGGTTTCGTGCCAGGAAGATTCCTGTAAGTTTTCATAAAAAGGCAATAAATAGGAAAGCACATACCTCATCCAGTTCAAATGGTGTGGAGAATCTGCGGGTGACTTCCTCAATCAGATATCCAGAGTTCCTGGTCCAACACAACAGATTTTTACATTAGAAATATTCACAAGAGCTACATTAATACTAACGTAGTTTACTCAAATCAAACAGGCCTACATGGGAAAAGAAAGTTTGATTAGTAGTATGCTAAATTAATATAAACTCTAAAGTCTGACCACACCATGACATCTACCTAGTCAAGGATATGGATTAATATACTGGTTGTGTAAACTGTATTATGTACACTGTAATTTCCTGCCAACAGGAGAGTCTAGAGCTTCATGATATTGATAGGCGCAGGTTTTACAGCAGCCCTTTGGACAGATGACACTGTTAATCTAACTATGGGTTTATTACTCTGAGATTGTTTATTCAAATCTTTGCGACTTCAAGATCTGAGTAATACGTCTGATGAAACCACTTACTTCACATGACCAGGTATTTCTATAGAAATCTTGCCACATATAATTGGCAGTATTTACTATTTTGTGCTATGGTGTTTTCATCTGTTTATTTACACAAATGCATCATTTTTGTCCAATCATTCAGATTTTTACAATGTGTGGTGATTGGCTCTTGTGAACTTTTTGCAGCCTCTCCACCCTGCACATGTTGTGGCCTCCACCGTTGCTGCATGTAATTTTCCCTAAATATAAATAAGTGTGCAATATCAACCTCTAACCAAAACTACTTGCGTCATGGCTTAGGTTTCAAGGCTGTATTTGTGGAACATGATAAAGACTGCAATTTGGAAAATATTATGCAAACCCTGACTGGGTTTCCCCAATTCCATTTTAAAGTTGCAGGACACATCAGCCTTCTGTGTTACACAAACAAAAACTAGACTAGATCAAACCAGTACAATACCAGAGGAATGGGAAAAGAACTGAAACTGATCAATGAAGAACCAAGTTTAAAACAGGACTGAACTGGGACTACTCAATAAAATTCAAAATATACCTCTAAAAAAAACATTTTCTCTAGTGTACAGTTACATACAGTTGGCTGACATAGTTCCAATGGGCTCTAATGAAGTTCCATGCCAGGGCCTGTCCCGCCTCATTGTTGGCAATAGAGGTGATTACAGAGGACACATCCATCAAACGGATCTTGCTTGGGTCCAAGGTATAATCCAGGTATCTGTGGGGTTAGAAGAAGAGTCATTCAATATTAATTGATTTTATTAGATTTTATTATAAATTGAATCATCAAATAATATATCCAACAACTTGTCTCTAAAACAAATTGTATTAAGGTGAAACATCACAACACTCTACATTGCCCATAGTTTAATATTAGACTAGAGGTCAGGTCAGAAGTCACCGTAGAATAGGCATGGGTTGTGCCATGGTTTAACTTATTGAACTGTCCCCGTTTCATTAAACCTCCTTGTTTACCTATTCTCATGTTGTAGGCCTACATTATGTCTGACCTGTTTAGGAGCCAGATCTTCTTAGTGCAGGTGAGAGCCTCTCTGAGCTGCTCCTTTTCAGAGGTGTCACTGGAGTTCTGGAGCCTGTCCCAGGCAAACTCCCACTCTGCCAGGCCCCCAGCAGCTATAGCCTGGCAGTAGATGACTGAGCGCAGGTTTGGGTGGATCCTACAAAGAGCAATTTCTTCATAAGTAAAATACCTGCTCATGTTGACTGTGTAACATTTTTGATTTGCCACCTGCCTGTCGCCAAGGAGATGATATTGCTTTACCTGAAATGATCCACAGTAAGGCATTAAACTTATCTCTGGTGATACCAAGCTACAGGCAAGGTCTGGTGAGAGGGGACCCCGCTCATAGTAAGATAAACACATAAATTCAAGTCATACTGTGGAACACTCAAGGTTAAACAGTAACATCTCTATGGGGACAAGCAAGTAGTGGACCCACATTAAACATTTTCTTCTCCTTATAAATTATTACAGTAGTTATAACCCCCCGAAATTAATAATGTTGAGTTTGATTAGCTGATGTCATTTTTTTTTACATCTGTTTCTTATGTTCACTGAAAGCTGTCATTTAAGTAGGTAAACTTAAAATGTATTTGTCCCTCAGTCTTACAGGTAGGTTAAAAAAAAAAATTCTTTTAACGTGAAGTTGAAATTGTTACATCTACTTAACTTACAAATTTCAGTTTCACTGTTGGGTGAACATAATATTTAAAAGAGGTACAAATACTGTACTTGTTAGTTTTGTTGGTCATCCAGAATTTGAACATATCTTTGGCCATGTTCACACATGCAGGGAGACCGTTGGTGCACGCCAGGTTGATGGCCAGGATTTGGCAGCTCCTGTGGTTAAGACCATGTGTTATTCAGTGAGACTTAGTCTGATCACTGCTTTTGTTGCATTGCTGTTGGTTGGAAAGGCTTTACACTTGGTAAAGAACTTGGATTTATTCTAGTTTGGAAAATATATTCAGTATCATAATTTCTTATAAGCACAAGTTAAGGGAGTGCTTCCTTACTGTGCAGTGTAGTCAGTTGGGACAGTTGAGTTGTCTGTGTAGTTTTTGAAGTGATTGTAAAGCCCTGTTACTTGATCCCGTAGATACGTCTGCAAGAGCAGAAGAGGGAGGAAAGTAAAACAGTGAAATCATTTCAATGAAATGCTAATTTAACGTTGATCCTTTAAAAACAGAAGGTTGCGTTCGCATGACAACAGAACATTTTAGAATCCCCATAGCTGGAGACAGGTCAGAATTGTATAGTGGATTTCTTACAGATTAGTTAGCCTGGTTTATGGTTTAATATCTCTAATTACTGGGCCAATCCACGTGAAAACAAAAACTGGCATAAAATTCAACATCTTCTCAATATGAAATCATGTTTTGTCAATAGCTTCAGAAAGTGGCAAAATTCTTCAGTTCAAGATCTGATGGCTGTTTTAGACGAAAGAGTATTATGGCAGGTTTGTAGAGCCAATTCTTGACAAATAATGCATCACAATTCATCACAATTGCATCATAGTTTTGGATATCTCTTGCAAAAAAAAAGTAAAAAGTGTGTGTGCGAGCACCTGCATGAACCCATAGACCTCAGAGCGGTCAAACATCAGGACAAAGTAGCGCAGGTTTTTCTCTGCAAACTGCCATGGAATATACTCGGTTTCAGTGGACAGGAAACGAGTGGAGTTCAGAGCCAGAGACACACTGACCAATTGAGCCCTGTACACACACACAACACTCATATTTGTACAGTGCACACATTACTCTGTATTTTATGAACACTTTATGTAACAATGCCCACATGTTATGGTATATGACAACATTGTATGCAGACTCACAGCACTATTAAACAACAACCTGTTCTCTTGAAGGTACAGTATGTAACTATAGAAGTGGCACATCACCTGTATGATTTCACGGAAATTGGAAAAAATGGAAAGTTAATTTAGAATATTCTCCACGGTGAAAGAGAAATTTAATGCCATACTGTGAAGTATTATAGTATTATATATGGAAACAAGAAGGAGGAGGCCCTCGTCCATACCAAATAAGACTCAGCTTTGTTGAGATGCAAGCCTGAACAGTAAGAACATGTTTTTGTTGTTGTTGTTGTTGTTGTTTATGTTTTTCAGTGCAATAAACACAGCCAAATTTATAAAAGGCTTTTATTTTTGTCTATTTTTGGTTAAAAAGTTATGTACTGTCACATTAAAAATGCAAAAAGATTAGTATGTTTGTGTAAAGCATCATAATATATTCAGTTTTGTTCATCTGGTTATTAACATGCTTTAGATACTGTACACTTTGTATAAGAAGGAATCTAAAACAGATTACCTTGCCAAGTTAAAAGCATCATCAATCAGCTGGCCCCTGTTTAATAGTGGGATGCTCTGGGGAGAAAAATCATTGTTAATTTTACAAATCCAAAAAAGGTTTTCAGTGGTGTTTGGGACATTTGGAGAGGCCACACTCACATCAGGATTGGTCTCTAGCTCATACAGCAGCCGCTGCCAGTTTGCCAGATCATAATTGACTCTGTAGTATCCAGTACAGTTCACATTGGCCAATATCCACTCTCCTGTCTTTGACTGGAATGTGGGCTTTTGGACTGTTAAAATATTAGTAAATAATAAAATAACAAATGTAAAATGTATTTATTTTATATTTATTCATTTATTTTAATTTTCTATAAAGATTGTGAAACATCCTTTTTGTATGTTACCTTTTTTGTACATTATCCACTCCAGAGCTGATAGGCCAGAGCCGGATGTTACTCTAACAGGGATATCCCATAAGAGACTAAACACAAAACAATTATATATTTTGTTATGGTTCAAGTAGAATTCATATAAAAAGTGATAGTGACATATTACTCATGATGATGGTATGTACATACTTTGATTCAGAAGTGTCTTTAAACAGAAACTGCCTCTGGATGGCCTCTCCGCTGGTGGTGTTGATGGTAATGACTGGGTATCCGATCTGATTGGTCCACGTGTCCATCATCTTCTCAATATCCACATAACCACCTAACTGTTTTTGGGCCTACAAAAAGTAGAACATCATCGTTATTTATTAGTACTCGAATGACACATATGAGTTATTGTACTGTATGTAACATCACATTACTACCATATTCATGGCGTTCCAGAGGTCATACTGATCAGTGTTTTTCATCTTGAAGAGTCCCAGATAAATCTAACACAAACAAAGAAATATTTTGGAGTAGGTAGAGTAATTACAAAAACAGTTTTTCTCCAATCAAGGGTCACAGGACCATGGCTTGAGGAGCATCTGGAGTATCTCACAACTATTCATTCAGCATGAGCAGCTCTGGGGTTTTAGCTGATCTGCACCTGCCCTGAATAATCCAAAAAACTGGACTCTATGTCTATGACGTCATGATGATTTTTGCAATATGCCTCCTTTTACAGGACAGCTGTGGCAGAAGTAACACTTACATACCTGAAACCAATGTACCACCAGCAGCACTTTCTTTGTGATTTGTTTCTTAAATTTTATACAAGATATTTCTTCATTGACAAATTTCAAAGGAGACCGTTAAGAGTCTTAACTTTTAATCAGTGTATCATATCTCACTGAAGTGAGAAGTGAGTCAGTAACATCTTGAAAACTGCAAACACACACTACTTTACTTTGGTTATGGTTTCCAAAACAGAAAATCAAAAACAAAAATCAAAAACAGATATTTTCACTCTATTCAATTGCCATGTTTTTTTCCTTGATGTCATAAAATGCTACTTTAGTTTCAATATAAACACTGCATAATGTTCCCTAGAATTTGGGCTAATGCCTTGGGTCTGTGCAAAATCTTAATGCAGTAGTTGTTATTGTGTATTTTGTAAAACATCTCCCTCCTGTGATGCTGTCAGACCCCCTCCCATAGACACATGCCAGATGTTGGACTGTTGATGTAAACATGTTAAATTTTGTTTTCATATTTAAACAAACGTTCACCAACTGCTCTGACTTGAGATCAGTTGTAAAGAAAGAAATGATCTTGACAGACAAAAGCCATGTGTACACAATGTCACTGGGTTTAGCTGTAATGGTCTTTACTGGAATCAGACACACTCTGACTGTAAACTAAGATTATCATCTCATTTTATCTAGAGAGTTCATACAGTCCACCAATCATCTTAAAGTATGAAATAAAAAAGAACAGCCAATTACAATGGGTAAAATGGTCCTTATGAGTTTTCTGATTCTTATGACTGTGTGAGTGAGTCTTACTTCGATCCCCTTGTGAAACACAGCTTCTCCCAACACATCCGCCAACATTTTCAGCACTACAGCCCCCTGTAATAGAAACACACCACTGGAGCTCATATCGTTTCCAAGGTAACAAACATTTAACAGTCACATGAATGTAGAAGTAGTAGTAGTAGTAGTTTTATTTTTTGTGTTTACCTTGCTGTATGTAATCTGATCAAAGATCCCCAGGATCTCATCTGTGGTCTGGACCTCTTCTGGAGGGGGGGTCAGGGGGTGTGAAGTGTTCAGGGCATCTGCCTCAAATGCTGTGTGCAGTTCATAAGCAATAAATTTGTCCCTCTAAAGAGACAAATGACATAAAATGAAACTGTGTTCATGTAATAAAATTGCTTAAGACGTACACAACAAGAATATTTTACTATCAAATCAGTTAATTCTAATTGTTGAGCAGTTTTTGTACCATTTTGAAGGCAGGGTTCACTTTGTCTACAGCCAGATAGGACATGTAAGTGGCAAAGCCCTCATTGAGCCATGCCTCATTCCACCACTTCATGGTCACCATGTTTCCAAACCACTGTGAGACAAAGACAAAAGCTCTGAAAACTCCAGATTCTGAAATGTTCATTAACATGTAAATAACTCTGAGATGCTCTGAATGGTAAATATTCCTTTAATGTGAAAACAGAAGTGGAGCGTGTAGAATAACCTTGGATGTTTTAGTTCTCAGTCCATGATTTATGTCCCTTTTATCTAAAAAGCCTTTTACACCAGCAAATAAAAATGCTTAACCAAGAGCAGACCTGCAGAGCTCCTTTGAGAAGGCAAAAGGATGGACTGGAGAAGTCAGCTCACTTCAGAGCTGTGAAATGTGAAGGGTTTTCAAACATGATAATAATAGTCAAAGTTTGTGACTGAAGAAAAAAATATTTCCCCCAGATCAAAAATGTATAAAGTCCCCAACTGTGCCCCCTGCCCTAAATGGGCCTGGCACTAAAAGTACCTGGAACTACAACATTCCTACAAAGTGAAAATTCCTATGACCAGAGACTGAAATACAGAGGCAGTGAAAATTATGCATTGGTTACACCTTAAGACATAAACAAAAGATTTGGCAGATGCCAATAAGGAAATATATTTTATAATCTAGACCATAAGGAAGAATCTTAAATCCATAATGGCTGCCTGACCTGGTGAGCCAGCTCATGGGCGATCAATGAAGTGATAATTTCCTTCTGCAGGTAAGAGGACACACCCTCCTCGTACAGCAGCGCCCCCTCTTGATAGGTCACCAGACCCCAGTTCTCCATCCCCATGGGGGCCAGGTCCGGCATGGCAATCTGGTCTACACCAA